ATAAAATTACGAGAATAAAGTCATTTAATTACGAGAATAAAGTCGTAACATTATCAGAATAGTCGTAAAATTACGAGACTAAAATTGTAAAATTAAGAGAAAAATGTTGTCATATTACGAGAACCTCACAACAAGAATAGTCATAAAATTACGAGAATAAAGTTGTAAAGTTAAGAGAATAAAGTCCTAAAATTCCGATAAAAAAAAGTATTTTATGACAACTCTTACATGAAGCACTTTCTTCCTTAAAGTGAGGAATGTCGAGCATCATATGAAGTTATACTTTGGCTCTAGTTTGACAAATAAGCAAATCTTTTAGCAGGCCAACATCAAATTGGTCAGAATGTCAAAGTTGACTCAGGTTGCAGTTTGGTGGAGCTGGTCGGCCGTCAGATGCTGGTCGGAGCTCCAAGCTTTCTTTCTGAAATGATTTGTGGTATGATGACTTAATTCTCATAATATTACGACTTTATTCTCATATTGTTACGACTTTATCCTCAAAATTAAAAAATCTAGCGTGGCTCTAATACTCTGTAATAATGATTAATTGAAGCACTGTTGTAGTTCAAGCAGTAGTTGTTTCTATGAGTGCAGCATTCAAGCTTGCTGCTCTGCAGGAGGAGGTAAGATTCACCGAGATGCTCTATAATCTCGGTGCAGGGAAGCTGTTTGTCTTGCCGTGACATCAGCGTTCTGAATCCAGTTGAAATGAATCAACAGGAGTATGTGTTACAGCACCCCCTTTATCTAAGTTATGTTCTCTTTCTCATCAGATACCACCTGGTACACATCCATATCTACTCAGCATGTGTGTTTGGTTTTACTCCGGTTCTTATCTCTGTTTGTATCGGCCTGCTCTTCGGTGCAACACTGGTAGATTGAAACCAGGCCAACTGGTAATTTAGCAACGCAGTAAATTGCTTGATGTGGGGTCCTCTGTCACTTGGAGATGGATCAATAACAGAATTAGCCGGAGCCCTTTGAAGAACAACAACTCTACAACTTCATTTTCTCCTGTCAGTTCAGCACAACTCTGATTGATTGCGCAGGGATGAGCAGCAGGACGGAGCCTGCAGTTACGTTACAACTGTTGTTGTCTGCGCTGTCTGTCGCTGCCCGCTGTTCTTTTTGTGCATCTCAAGCTGTCCTGAATCCAAGATGTTCTTAGATACGGAGAACTTCACAGTATAAAAACTGCCTTTGATTGGAAACATGATGTTCATGCAGCTGTCGGCTAGATTTCTGCTCATGTTTCTGCCTGTGGAGGTTAAACCCCTTCAGTCAGGCTGATTGCTCAACTGGAATCCTCCTTTAGTTGCAACATGGGTCCCAGCAAATATTGCTCTACTTAACAGCGTTGATAACAGATATATTTATTCTTAGATATCTACTCTAAATGTTTATAAAGAAGGAACTTGCATAAATGGTACAATAAAAAACCAAAGTGTTTGTCACTTTATGTAGGGTTACACTGATATATTTATTGTTTCTTCTGCAACATTATGCTTGAGTACACAGACAGGAAGCACTTATTTCACAGTGACAAGTTCAATGTGCCGCCCTCAGCATCCTGATGGAGGGTGACATTTGGGCTGTCCAGAGGACATGCTGAGTGAGCTATGTATCAGTGAGGCGGCATTTACGCCTCATTGGTACGGCTTGTCACTAATCGATGCAACATCCACCCGACATAACTCTCTCGTGTTGTTTTTTTTCCCGTCTCAGATGTATTGTTGTTTGGTTTTTATCCTGCACGCTCAGAAAATGGAGCACGACTCCGGGACACCTTACAGATAAATAAATGGAACAAGCAGTCTATGTTTTTTAATAAGGTTTTTATTGCCACATTTCTCTCACCTGCGTAATAGAATTGATTGCTCCTCCACACCTGTCTGCACTTTTAAAGTTTTAATGGGAAAATAGTAATTCCTCTGCATGAGAACAAACTTTGAATCAGCGCTAAAATACAATTTATACCAATCATCGTTGAAAGAAACGATAAAACAAATCCTGAAAGCTGTTGGCTAAGTGTAATTAATGTATTTCAGTTGATGCACTTTATCTTTTTACGCTGATGGAAAATATTTCTAAAACTGACCTAGCGGTTGTTCATACATACACTATTATTTTTAACTGTGATTATTTCGCTACCCATTACTAATTTAGAAAAATATAAAATGCTGTAGTTTTTTTAATTTCAAACCTATCTAAATAACATTCTGACACATAGGAACATGTCTTACTTTTAATCCCTTTTGTTCCAATTCGACTGAATGACTGAATGAAATTTTAATTTGAACGATAATTTTGAGCAAAAAATTAATAAAAACCACAATAGAATTACATGTAGAGAGATCACTTGAAAAGGAGGATGAAGTATACACCTGTTTACTCCTACCCACTGGTCACATTCAGCTTATAGTAAAGCATGTCCCTATATATAACACTTTTAATATACATTGTACTTCAATAAATAATCATATGTACCTGCACCAATCTTCACTGTCAATAGACCACATGTAATTAACTTTATTATAATAAATATTCCGTTTTCTAATGATTGATTGTTAGAGGAATGTTAGTTATTGCTGAAAATAGATTAACATAACAGTAGCACAGCTGCTCTCTGAAACAGGGGAGGCTCAATGGTGTTAATGAAATCCAAACGTCACGTATTGCATTAACAAATATTAAAACCCATAAAACACACCACTATAACCGGTGAAAATAGCTGCTCTGAAATAATAAACTCCAGAAACCACGGCAAGAGTTCAGCACGATTACTGTTCTGACTGAATGAAAACTTTTCCTCTAGAATCATGAGGAAAATCTCTTCGCTGTCTGGCCACTGTCAGTCAAAAATCCTTCAGCATGTTAGCCAATCAGCATCGAGCAGCCAGCTTCATGACCCGCCCTGCTCCATAGACCCCCTGAGAGATTTAGCCTCACTGGAAGTAACGTACTTTGCCGTGTTATCCAATCAGGGCTCTGCTTTCTCGCTGCTTACCTCAGTAGACTGAGGTTCTCATAGAGGCTGACAGGCAGCGTCCTGCTGCTAAAGATTGGAGGGAAGATCGGAATAACCGGGTGATTAATGCGCAACATACTCATTAAATCAGGCAAATTTGAGCAAATATGTAATGCAGTTTATGAGTTTGACAATGCATACTTTATTATGAATTTTCTAGGCTTTTAACACTGGGTGACAATGTATTATTTGGGGGGCTCAATATATAAAGGTTTGAGTTAGACTACAAACAATAATTATTTTCTTCAATGTATATTGATTAAATAAAAGTTGTTTATGTTCCAAGATGTATATTATTTATGTACTGTACAACTTATTATAAATTAAGTATAGCGCAAAAATAGAAATAAACAAGTAGTCAATGTGCTCCTTGGACGAAATAAATCCAGTAATGAACAAAAACTGAAGGTTAAACTTAAAAAATGTTAAACCAAGGCAGGGCAAGCAGCGGTGCATATTTAAATGTGTACCACAAGAATAATAGAACAAAACAAAACATATATATAAAGCCCTTTAAAACTGAGTATAGTTGACCACTGCCCAGTGATATGACACCAGGTTCACAAAAACAATCAGAACAGCAGAATTCAGTGTGACTAAGGCTTTATCTGCCATTGTCGTCCTAAGGTTGGTTTTTATTAATTTAGGTGCAGAGAAACTTTTTCCACAGGATGCAGTACTAACTGGAATCACAAGCCAAATTTTACTCAGCCTAAAAAGTTAATGGAAAACTTTGTAATGCACCAATATGCAGCATTACACATACCAATATGAATTATTTTACCTAATTTCTGTGATTGTTGCTGAACAACTTGCTAACATGTTCTTCTAAGCATCTTCACACCAGTGTGATGGTATTTGTCCGTTTCATGAGACTTGTAATTGAAGTAGTAATACTCATAGGTAACACTAAGCGTAGGCACTGTGGTGCAACATTTCCCCTATTTCCCGTTAAATCAGCACTTTCTTTAATTTACTACCAATAAACGTTCATACCAGCAGAGGAAATGCTTTTCATTGATCCTGTGTGCCACAGTCGTCTTTTGTTTTGGAGCCATTTGGAGCACGAATGAACAGCATGTCGGTTTAACCAATTAAAAGTGTAGTCGAAGTGTGCTGCCTGAGGATGCATTCAAGCCCGCTTGGAAATTTCACAGTTTTCTTTTCAAATGTTTGTGAAATTCAAACAGTGTTAATGTTTTCAGTGGGTTGGCAATGGGGTGGCAAGTATTTCTTCTGGGGTGGCAATTGCCACCCCAATTACCCCTTTGGGTCTGCCACTGTGAGTTTTACGGAATTTACTCTGTAGGTTTAGCCTCCCTAGTATTCAAATAGAACTCGCCACTGCCCTACATATAACCAAGTACTAAAGCATATTAATAGCCAATTGAGTAATTATACATTGTACTGAAAGCTGTGAACTCATTCAGCTGTGGTCTGTCTGAAGTAAAGCTGCGATACTACTGTATGGTCTGAATTCCTTGTTCCTGTTTCTCCGCAGGCATCCGTTTAACTATAAGGGTAACTCGTTTAGTTGCCGTCTCTTTAAATGCAAACTTGGCTTCCCTATTTTTGATATAATAATAAAGATATATTATCTAGTGATGCAGAAATGGAGGAACAGTGAAATTGATTCTGTACAACAGCCCAACATTTCAACGTATGAACCTTTGTATCATTGAGTTTAGATTGTAAAATGGATGCAAAAAATAAAAATGGCGGATCGAGGAGTTGTGCAGCAGTTATTCTGACCTAAATGGATTGAAAAATATGAGTCAAACAGAATATAATGATATCTGTAGATTATACGCCTGTAGAAAATATAGGAAACTTTTCTGCACTCATAGAGACGACAAGCAAACAACAAAATGACTTGAAGGGCCACAAAAACAGATTTTGCTTGGTGTGATCCTTTGGAGACATTAAAAATTGTTTGTCTCAGCTTTATGACTGCTGTGTGGTTTCTGTTTAGATTGTGTATGCGGCTGTGGACTGCACAAAAGGACTGAACCATGACCTCTGCAAGCAGGAGGGGGTGGAGGGCTACCCAACATTCAACTACTACAACTACGGGAAGTTTGTGGAAAAGTACAACGGAGATCGTGGGGTAAGCTCCAGCCATGTAGATAAATATACAATCTTATAATGAATGAAAAGCACATAACAGTTTTATGAGAAATGTGTTGTTCTAAAGTCCATCTGTCCATCCATTTTCTGTCATACCCAAATGTGGTTGTGAGGGGTCCTGGTGCCTATCCCCAGCTGTCTACAA